GCATGTCACCCTGAGGGGCGCCAGGGACCCTGTCACTGACCCGTGGCACCCTGGGGTGGCTCCTGGCTCTTGTCACCCCCTCTAAAGCACCCCAGGGTGCCCCCAGGGCCGCCCCTCGGCAGCACCCAGGGGCTGGAGGCACCTCAAGGTGGCCCCGAGAGGGGCTCCTGGTGCCCCCCAGCACCCGGGACCTCCTGGGGCCACTTCCCCGTCCCCGAGGCGTCCCCGAGCCGTGTGTGTGTCCCCAGGGAAGCGGCAGGCCGCCCCGGGGGAGCTGCCGGCCGCCAAGCGCCTCAAGCTGGACGCGGCGGCGCCCGGCTCGGGGAAGTCGACGCCGCAGCCGCAGTCGGGCAAATCCACCCCGAGCAGCGGGTAAGCGACGGCGCCGCCGGCCGGGCCGGGGGGGACACGGGGGGACACGGCGCCCACCCCCGCGTCCCCCCCCAGGGACGTGCAGCTCACCGAGGACGCCGTGCGCCGCTACCTCACGCGCAAGCCCATGACCACCAAGGACCTGCTCAAGAAGTTCCAGACCAAGAAGACGGGGCTGAGCAGCGAGCAGACGGTGAACGTGCTGGCGCAGATCCTCAAGCGCCTCAACCCCGAGCGCAAGATGATCAACGAGAAGATGCATTTTTTCCTCAAAGAGTAGTGCCCCCCCCCCCCCCCCCCCCCGGCTCCCATCCCAATAAACGGGGCTGTTTTGGAGCGGCTGCCTCGGCAAAGGGGGGATTCTTTCCAGTGCTCCCTGGGGATTGATGGGTTTTCCCTTGGCTCCGGGCGGCTGGAATGTGCCTGGATTGACGGCTGCATTGCAGGGGGCGACTAGACAGGGCACTGGGAAAAGGGGGGGYGCATTTTGGGGGGTAAATCCCCCCCATGGGGCAGCTCGGGGGTTAAATCCCCGCTCTGGCTGACTAGAGAAGCAGTAAATCCCCCTATCAGTGTCCCTGTGGGATTTAGGCCTTGGAGCAGCCCCGTGGGGACGGATTCCGCACMTGGGGACAATGGTCCCTTGGGGCAGCCTCAGTGGGAGGGCCGGGCTCCTGTTTGGGGCAGCCCGGGGTAAAACCCCTTTGGGAGSCCCCCAGGGAGGTCACATCCCTTTYGGGGGTGCCCCAGGGAGCCCCATTCCTTCCAAGAAGCAAGAGGGGGGTCCACATTCCTTTGGGGGGGAGGAATTCCTGAATTCCTACCGGGAGCAGCTCCAAAGAGTGTGGGGGGGCAGGAGGGGGGGGTTAAATCCCTGCTGGCACCTCAC